TCACCTTCACAGTTAGGCCTTCCCTGACCATCCTATTAAAATAACAATCCTCCCGGGGCGCCTGGGTGGCTCAGTCGGTTAACCGACTGCCTTCAGCTCAGGTCATGATCCCGGGGTCCCGGGATTGAGTCCTGCATCGGGCTCCCCACTTGGCGGGGAGCCCGCTTCTCCCTCTCCCACTCCCCCGCTTATGTTCCTGCTCTATCTCTCTGTCAAATAAATAAATAAAAATCTTTAAAAAAAAAAATAACAATCCTCCCTATCTCAATATGGCCTAGTCATTCTTTCCCTGTCTTATTTTGTTTCACTGTACCTATTGCCTCTGACATACTTTATGTTTTATTCATATGCTTCACTGTTCTTGTCTCTTCTCTCAACTAGAATGGTAAGCCTCATGAAGGCTGGGATTTTTGTTCCCTTTGCTCACTGCTACATACCCGATTGCTAGAATGGTGCATAGGAAGTGTTCAACAAATAATTGCTGAGTAGAATGAAATAAAGCACAAAACAAAAATTTAAATATCTCTTTAAACAAAAGACATAAAGAAAGTGAAAAGACATAGCACAAATTACAAAAAAGATATCTACAGCACATAAAAGACAAAGGATATGTAAAGAATTCTTATGAATCAATAAGACAAAGAAAACCCAATAATGGTCAAGGCACATGAATAAGCAATTCAAGATAAAACCAAAGGAGTTAATGAACACAGAAAAGAAGCTCAACTTCATTAATCAGGGCAATGAATATTAAATAATGACATACTTGACACATTTATTTGTTGGAAGGGCAAAAAGGAGTAGGTCTGATAAGCGAGATATAAATAGAACTCTCATCTATTCCTTGTTTGCATTTAAGATGGTTTTATCAATTTAGAAATTAATTTGATAAAGAAACATTAGCATGTGAATACAATCAGAAATTCTAATTAGGTATAAGATTCTAGAGACAGTTTAGCATATATGAATAAGGAGATACATATGAAATTGTGTTTTGTAGCTTTTGTTTTGTAAGTCTGGAAACTGGAGAAAATCTACATGCCTGTCTAAAGAAAATGGATTAATTGTGATATATTATATGACGGAATACTATATAATAGTTGTACTAAATGAACTAGCAATACATGTATTAACGTGGAATCTCAAAATCCTAAGTTGAACAAAAAAGTTATACAATTGTATAATATATAAAGTTTCAAAACACGTAAAACACCCCTATATGTCATCTGTGGATACAAATACATGTGCAATTTATATAAAAAACACATGGAGATAGATCACCACTGGGGAGGTTAGGGAATGGGATATAGGAAGTACACAGGAGTTTTCAAATATATGTTATTTTTTCCAGTTAGGAAAAGTCACACTGAGGAGTGGATACGTGGGTATTTGTTATGGTATTCTGACTTTGTTAGTATTTGTAATAGTTTATAATAAAAGGTACTAAAAAAGAAAGGTACTAGCAATCAGGTTACCTGATGTCTAGTTCTGACTCTGCTAATTTTTCTACTTAACCTTGGACTCTGTGGCTCTGGTTTTTTCATTTGCAAAGAAAGAGCTCACACACTTCCTGATTTCAAAACTTACTACAAAGCTATAGCAATCAAGACAGTGTGGTACTGGCATAATGATAGACATACAGATTAACAGGCTAGAACTGAGAGTTCAGAGATAAACCTTTACATTTATGGATGACTGATTTTTTTGACAATGGTGTGAACACAATTCAATGGAAAAAGAATAGTCTTTTCAAACAGTGCAGGGATAACTGGATATATATCTACAAGCAAATGAAGGAAGGTGGATCCCAATCCCTCACACCATTTATAAAAATGAATTTAAAAGAGATCATAGAAAAAACTCAGAATGGATGATTTCTGGGGTCTTTCTTCCAGTAATAAAATTTATGATTACATGAAAATAAAAAATTTATTCATTAAACTATTAATTCATTCCACATTTACTATTTATCTACTATGAGGAAGTCATTATGCCATGTGTTGGACATATAAAGATGTACATTATAAAATTCTTGTCTTTGAGGATTTCACAGTCTAATGAGGAGAGAAAGTTCAAAATGATATAATAGCACAGAGTTAAATATAGTATGGTTCTTTTGGCCTCAACTCTACCTATATATGGATAACTCTTCCCAAATTCCAGACTCATACATCCAACTGTCTATGAAATCTCTACCTTAGTAGTGAATTACATTTATTCCTTCTCCTTCCTCACTCTTTTTTGTATTTCTTTTGGTGTGGGGTGGGGATGGGGGGCAGAGGGAGAGACTCTTAAGCAGGCTCCATGCCCAGCACCGAACCCGACTTGGGGCTCGATCTCATGACTCTGAGATCATGACCTGAGCGAAAATCAAGAGTTGGACATTTAACCAACTGAGCCACTCACGCTTTTCCTTCCTCACTCTTTAACATCTAAGTAACAATAGGGTATACTTGTGACTGTGACATAAGTCCAACTGAAACATAATGATGATACAAATGTGCTTTGGAATTTAATGATTTTGCAAAGTTAACATGGTCCCTATCTAGGTAATGGGGGGAGGGGGTGGGGAACACTACCCTGTAATGAAACACAGAAAGATTTTGGAGCAAAACATCTATTAAATGGGGTAAAGACCATAATAGCTTTGTGTCAGTTTGTGGGGGATGGGGTTGAGTTAAAAACAACCTTTGTAAGAGGATTTTGAATTTTTGGATCCAAACAGAAGAGGGACTATCATCCTATATTCTCTACACTAAGATGTCCCCAATAAAATGTAATCACCCAATAATGATCAAGTTTGATTGATTCTATCTCTTCAATCTTCCCTCAAATCTTCTACCTCTCTTCATTATCATGGAAGATATATTTGAATTTGCCTATAGGCACCAACTATTTTTTTTTACTTTATTGTATCTGCAGGAGTGAACAAAGTTGGAACTGAGTGGATGCTTGCTGAAAGAAAATGTGCGTTGTCTATAGGTCTCTTCACAGCTTCCCCGGGTCCAAGTGATCATAAAAGATAGATAGCACAGCTTTCATATATCATTTCTCACAGAAGAAATGGTTGATGTACCACATGTGAAAGCAGGACTGGTTTTTCAGATGGAAGAATTACTAATAGAGCTACTAAGTCAGGTTAAAGTTTCTAGGTGACAGGAATCTATGAAAGAGAATTGAAAAGTTGCTTCAGGGACAAATGGAGAGAAAAAATAGTCAACCTCCTGTTCAGGGTGTGAGCTAATCTCAGCTGTCATTCTGCCCGTATTTCCTGCCTACTATTTATAAACTAAGACTCAAGATAAATGTACTAGATGACAAAATGTTCCAAACAAAGTGCAAAATAAAATGATCTAAAGATCCAAAATTTTTCGAATAGGTAAAACTTAAAGTTTATGTTTCTTAAGTAGAATAAAGCTGCACACACACACAAAAGATAATAATGAAATAAAAGGCAAAGAATTTCTGAATAAAGAAAGCATCAAAGTGTTAAACTAAGCCATGATACTATAAAAAGAAAAATAATTTGAAAGACTAAGATGTAAAGAGTAAAAGAAGTCTAGGAACCACAGATAAAAAGTTAAAAGCGAAAACACAAAACAGGCAAAAACAAGAAACAAAAAACAAAAACCCACACAAGAACCCAAAAGCATGAGCTAAGAGCAAACATTAAATAAATAATCCAGTAAAATAAGATGAAAAAAAATCATTTTTAAAAAGAAGTCACCCAAGTATCCATTGACAGACAAATGGATATGGTATATACACATACAATGGAATATTATTTAGCCATAAAGAAGATGAAGTTCTGATATATTCTACAACATGGATGAACCTTGAAAACATGTTAAATGAAATAAGCCAAACACAGAAGGATAAATACCATATGATTACAATTACATGAATTAATCTAGAATAGGCAAATTCATAGACATAAAGTAGATTAAAGGTTACCAGGGGCCCGGAAAAGGAGGCAGTGGGGAGTTATTGTTTGATGGGTACATTTCTTTTGGGTGATGACAGGGTTTTAGAAATAGTGGTGATGACTGTACAACATTGTCAATGTAATTAATGCCACTGATTTATATCCTTAAAAGTCGTTAAAATGGCTAATTTTATGTTATACACATTTTACAATAAAAAAACAAACTAAAAAGAAAAAAAATCAGTATGCAACCAATTTAAACCAGAAACTAAAATATTAAAACAATATGGCAAATTATTGCAAAAGTATCACCCCCAAATGTAATTTAAGGAGCCTAAGGATCATAACAAGTATATGGTAGGGAAGAATGTCGAAGTGGCAGCAGCATAGACAGCCTAATCTCAAGTAAGTAGGATGATCATATAATTTACCATCCTAATGAGGACATTTTTGAGAGGAAAGGGGACACTATTAATAATTACACAGGAATAACAGGTGTAGACTGGGACTGTCCCACGCAAACAGAATGTGTGGTGACTCTACATATAATGGCAATCAGGTCCTCAAGGTTGAGATCAGGCCCATAGCTTGGGGTCTGGCCAAAGTACAAAAGTCTGAAAGCATCTTCCTGAAGGACCCAAGTGGTCAAAAATGCAAGCCTTTTTTCATTTTTTTTAAACAAAGAATTAACACACAATTACATGGAATTACTGAAGTTTTCTAATTTGAGATTCATAAAACAATTAGCATATTATTAGATTTTGTTAAAAGCTATTATGGTATTCTAGGAAGTTTAGAAAGCTGAATTATACTTTGAAATGCACTGGTAGGCATAAGGATTTCCTAAGGTGAATCATTTTTCATAAATATTTATTTTTATATAGACAACTATATAAATTTATATGCATATATTCTTTTATGCTTAAATTGAGCTACGGACAATTGAGCCTTAACACTTTAAAAATCAAACTAGAATTACTGAGAAAATTAGTAACTGATCTCTTACCCATTCTTTATCTTTAAAATAAAATTAATCTTAATGACCTACAAATAGGTTAACTTAAAAAGTCCATACCTTACTTGAGAAGCTCCGACTTGGGATGTTTCTTGCTAACTCTGATATCGTGGGTTTATTCTGCAGACACTTGGTTAGGTGATATTTTTTCAATTTTATTCTATTGTAATAATGATCAGCGAAGTTACAGTGATTCAAGTGCTGTTTCTGCATGCATTTCCCAAGGTGAGGAATACTATACTTCAAAGCCTGGAGAAATAATTTGCTCTTCTGCTGCATGATATCAGAGTCCCTGGTTTATGCTCCCTTTGGGGCTGTCAGCACATGATTTCATAGGTAGGTTTACACAGTAGTGGGTTCTCAGAGTATCTAAGATTCGCAGTTCTTATCCCTCCCCTTCAGGTTATGAATAACTGCAGACAGCTGATAACTCAGGTTAAAAATACCTGAAAACTTGTATAAGTTAAAGTTTCATTCAAATCATACTTCTCAGAAGACGTGACTTAAATGTCTCATTTGTAAAGTCAATCCTACCAGGCTCAAACTATGCAGCACTGATTCTGGTACACATGGGGCAAACTAAAAAATAACAAAACAAAAAACAAAAATAAAAATTTGCAAACAAATACACAGACTTAATGAGGGCATCTCCAGAACTCTTGATGGCATTAAAAGGCAAAATGGCTTTGATCTTACGAAATTCAGAACATATCTTTGATAGGTATATGAAGGATAAACTGGAAAAGCCTATTTATTTAATAAAGGTAGGGGAGTGTTGAGTGTTTGCTTCGTGCCAGACATTTTCATATACTTTGTCTAATTTAAACTTCATAAGGACCTGATAAGAGTAGCCATTATAACATTCATTTTACAGGTGAGCAAGCTGTGGCTCTGGGAGGTTTTGACAAGTGCCCTAGGTCACTTGGACAGAAAGTAGCAGAACAAAAGGTCCAAGCTGGTTTGGTTCCAAATCTTGGACGTAACAACAACTTAACGTTGAAAAAGATATTTAGCTCTTTAGTTAAAACAAAACACATCATTTCAGGATGAATAAATATAATGTGAGGCCACCTCTGGTTTCTGTTGAAAAGATGGTTCTTATTAACCCATCAAAGTAAGGCTAATAAGTACTTAAGAGAGACACCTGGGTTCAGGCCGTCACTCCGGCACTCACCACCTGTGCCTCAGTTTCTTCATCTGCAAAACTGAGATAATGACACCATTTACCTTATGGAGTTGTTGTAAGAATAAAATTAGACAATTTATGTAAAGATCTTAATACAGTGCCTGGCACGTAGTGTGCACTCAATAAATGCCGGCTACTATTATGATAAGAGAAATCAAAGTATCTTGCACACTGTTGCATGTCATCATGGACGTCTTCCACAAAACGCCCCTCGGTATCAAAGATACAATACTGCGTCAGATTTACTAGAGATCTGATCCACTACGACGCCTCCGCCACCTCCACCCCCGAACCTCTTTCTGTGTCGCAGCAAAATAACGGGCGAGCGGGGGTAAGAGATCAGCAGCCAACACTAACCATCCCCAACCCCCGCCCGCCAAAGCCCTGTAACAGGGGCCCGTAAGGACCTAAATCATATGCATGCCAGCAGCCTCAATTCATCCATTTTCATCCGCAGGGAGAAGACAGTATGCAAGGCTAGGGATGGGGGTGGGGGAAACGAATGGGTGTTCCCGGGGGGACTCACTCGTTTTCTCGGTGCAACTCTCCACCCCAGGGATGAGGCGAAGTGAGTGCAAGGAAGCTGGGAGTAGGGGGTGGCGGCAGTTTGTGCTACGCCGAGAAGGGACGCCACGCAAAAGCGAGGACCCAGGGGACTGAAGCATGACTGGGTGAGGGGAAAATGGGGAGAACCCCTCCTGTACACAGTATGCCCCTCCATACGTACGCAAGTTGAAGGACAGTCGGCCGGGCTCTGCACACGGAAACGAGAGAGGGCAAGTCCCAGAACCAAAAGCTTTCAGGAAGGAGCACCCGCGTTACCTCGATCGCGTCCAGCCGTAGTCTGCGTTCTGCAATCCGCAGAACGACAACCTATAGAGAGCCGCCCAGAGCTGGTTTGCAGCACGCAGGTCTGCGTAACCCCAGTCAAGCCCCAGCCCTAAGCAGATTTCGCCATGTTTATTGTGGTCATGAATAGCTTCTCCTCCTCCTGGGGGTTTTTTTTAAACCCTGAAAGTTTTAATCCTTTTCGTTCTTTGTTAGTCTTCTGGGCTCGAGAAGAGGCAGGGGACAAGGGGAAAAGAAGAGCCAGTGTCTCGCGAGTTCTGCCACAACTCCCTTACCTTTCGGCCCGCCCTCACTAAAGATGGCGACCAGCAAAAATGGTGCAATGACGCAAGCCGCGCTGTCCTGGTTGCCAAGGAGACGCGAATACCGGAAATGCGGAATTCGGGGAGGGTGCGCGCGCCAGGGCTGTCGGAGGGTGGTTCGGCTCACAGGTCCTGACTGGGAAGAAGTCGGCAGGTCCTGGCAGGGGAGAGCTGTGGCGGTGACAACTCGGGGTATAGGCGGCTTTAACGGGATGGAGTCGGGAGTCGCGGACGCCCAGGCCGGCGAGGTTGAACGAGATGTGGGCGAAGGCCCAGCAGACGGCGGCGCCTCTCGGGGGCTTCAAGTCTCGGAGCCCTTGGGAGCCGCCCGGTGGAAGCTCCTGCGGCAGGTAAGGGCTAGCCCACCCGCCTCACCTTTGCATCTGGTCACTTCCCTCGCAGGTGCGCGGCGAGCGACCGGCCGCGACTCTCCTCTTGGCAGCTCTGGGAGTTCCCTCGTAGTTTTGCCGGGAGCCACCTGAGAAGCGCCCTCTTGCTTCTACTAAGGGTCCCACCGAAAGCGAGGAATTAGATAGGGTGGGGCGGGGAGGGGGCAGCCAACGCTGAGTTCCTGGGAAACTCAGATGGAAGTAGATCTTCTTTTGGCTAGTTGTCTGCATCTGGGGGACTTTTCTCTTTGCTCGCCAATCCAATTGGTGGGACCGCCGCTCCCCGTCCTATGCTGCTTCTCTTTCCTGCTTCTGTTTTACTTTCCCCGGATTTCTTCTGCTTGTTATCTGCCAGGCTGAGTCTGGCTCAAAGTTTGGCCCCTTTCTTGGAGATCTGCGTGGTTGACTGTGTTGGGACTGTGACTTTGCACGTGCTGTCGGTACAGCGGAGTGTGGAAGGTGTTCAAGAGCTGCTGCCTCTGTGTTTCGCTGGGATGTCAAGTTTTCATATTGATCTTGTAGTTTGAAGTGATCAGCGAGATTCTTGGTGTCCGAGGTGGACTAGTCCGGGTGTATTGGTTTGTTTAATGGCGGTTATTTTCTAGTACTTAAGAGTTGCTGCTGTTACTGTTGCTTCAGTTGTATGCAAGTTTGACAAATTTCTGATTTGACATCGCCGACCCTCTTTCCAAACTTCTCCCCCGCCAAACTTCTTGAAGTAAAATCTGTTTATTGTTTTGCACACCAGTGTTACGCCTTTGCTGAGGTTTCCTTCTGAAAACTTGCCTCAAGAGGACACTTTCCATTTCTGACTTGTATTTCGAGAAGAATTTTCCAGCAGCGGCTACTTTATTTGAGATTTGTGTTTAGTATTTTGAGGGTTACTTTGTTTGCAGTTGTCTCCAGTCACCTTTTCATATGGTGTCATGACATAACTCAGTGATCATTTCCTTGTGGATGCTTTGAAACTCTTTCCAAAGCATTGATGATCTGGTTTTGTTATTAATGTTACAAAATTATAGGGTAAGAAATGCAGGTCCTCACAGATTACTGTCATAGGAACGTTCTACAGTGAAATAAACATCAGTTAAAGTTGAATTATCGATGTAGTCAATTAGGGCCTTAAATTAATCAAATCTTATTGTGATGGTTTCAGGGATTCTTAGTATAGTAAGAAGGCCAGTTGACCAGCAAATATGTTCGTTCTGAGTTGCTATCTACATCAGAACCAGGACAAGCTTTAGCTATGGCTGCCATTTGTACTCCCCACACGTTTTGACATTTAATGTTTTGGTACACGTGTGTACTCTGCTTAGAGTCTTCTTATCTTCTTTCCTATTTGTTGAATGACTATTCATTTTTCAGAACTACATTTTAATGTCTTCTATGAAGCCTCTCCTGACTGGGCTGAGTTAGACCCTCAACTCACTCTACCAGTGAACCCCATATATTTTTTGATCATTTGGTTAGAGTCCATCTAACTTACTAGAATGGGAGTTCTCCCTGGGAAAAGATGATATTTTATTGCTCTTCATCCTCTGCACGTTGCACGGTGCCTGGCTAGTTGGTTTTTTTTTTTATTAGCAGATATTGTTAAGTGTTGTGGAAAACCTGAGAGTAAGAACAGGCTTTAAGTGGCCCATAGTATCAAGTCCTCAGTGTATCGTATCAGTTAGCTGTTAATGAGTAACAAGCAACTACAACATTAAAATGGCATACACCAGTGAACATTTATTTTGTTTGTGCATCTGTGGGCCACCTGGGAGTTGACTGACATAGGCTGTCATCAGCAGACCGGCTCTAATCCTTGGACCAGTTGGCTGACAAATTCTCCTGGTGATGGCAGAGGTATAAGAGAGCAAGGGCAACCACCAAAACACATTTAAAGCGCTTGCTAACATCCTGTTGGCCAAAGTAAGATACTTGGCCAAGCTTAAAATCAAAGGGCAGAGAAGTATACTCTTTCCTTGAAGAGGGCAAGAAAGGAAGTGAATATTTTCCCATAATAAATCTAATCTACCATGTATATTAAAACATTTGTAAGTTCTTAGTAAATATGTCTCAAATGGACCATCCACGTCTTGTGTGCCCCCAGAACTGGAAAACTCAGGAATCTAAACAGTGATAGAGATATGCAGCTCTCTGTCTTATGGGACATCCTCATGATATCTACTGTGTCTGCTTGTTTTCTTCTTCATAATTCTGTCATTCCCTTTCCCCACAGGGCTTCAATGCTCTGTAACGGTCCTTCACTTTAACTGTTCAATATTGTTTTTGGTTTTGTAATTAACCTTTTTTTAAAAGGAAAAACGCTGTTGACCTAGTTCATCATTTGATACCAGGTCACATGATAAATTGCTGACTTTTGAACCTAGTGCTCACTTTAATCAGATGAAGACTATGGATCAATATTGATAGAGGCTTTGGATAGTATTCTGTTTTCCTCTTTGTTGGGTCTCATTACCTTATAGCAAAGATGGCTACTGGCAACTACAGGCTTTGATCATGCACTCAACTAGTGATCCAGGAGAAATGACTCTTTTTCCCAACACCCAGATAATGTCCGTTAAATGACTCTAATAGGCCAAGCTTGGACCAGTTGTTGGGTCCAGGAGAATGAGGCACTTTGGCTACCTAGGACATTAGCCCACCCTGTGGCAGGGAAGATAACAGTCCCATGATTATTTCATAGGGTGAGGGAGGGGCAGTTCCCAAGAGGAAGGGATGTAGGGCAGGTGAAAAAGTATCATGACCATTACACACGTATTCACAAACACCTACAGAATGAATAATCTTACCTAGAGGTCTAATACTTGACTTAATCTGATTAAGGGAATATTTCACAGTATAATTTAAATTAAAACACGGTGCCATATGTTTGAAACTATCAGTGCTGAAAGAGAGTGTGATTCTTTGCCTTTTCCTAGCTCTCTGATGTTCAGCAAATTAACACCCCCTTGTTTCTTCTCTCATATAATTAGTATCTATCCCATAGGGTTATTTGAAGATTTAGTGAAGAGTGTGGTAAGACATGCATTAATTCTTCCTTAGACATTTGGTGTAATTTGCTGATGAGCAACCTGGGCCTGGCGTTTTCTTTGGTAAGATTTTTATTTATGCATTGCATTTTTTTTTTATTTTTTAAATTAGTTTTAGAGGTAGAATTTAGCAATTCATTAGTTGTATATAACACCCAGTGCTCATTACATCAAGTGCCCTCCTTGATGCCCATCACCCCATTATCCCTTCCCCCCACCCACCTATGCATTATATTTTTAAAATAGTTTAGCGCTATTCAGACTTTTTGTCTCTTCTTGTGTTGGTTTTGGTAATTGTATTCTTCTAGGAACTTGTCCATTTCATCTAAATTTTCATAGTTTTTATAATATCCCTTTGCTATTTTTTAATGCCTGCTGGATCTATAGTGATCTTCCTGTGTCACATTCATATTTATATTTTCTCTCTTTTTCTTCTTAGTGTTATCAAGGATTTGTCAGTTTTATTAATCTCTTCAAAGAACCAACTTTTGGTGTTTTAATCCTTCTAGCTATATTTTTGTTTTCTACTTTGTTAATTTCTATTTTTTAGGGAGCTTAATTTGCTTCTTTTTGTAATTTTTGCAGTGGATGCTTAGCTTACTGATTTTTAGCCTTTCCACAAATTTTCCTCTAAGTGCGAATTTATCTGCATTTCATATGTCTTGAAATGTGTTTTTATTATTCAGTTCAAAATGCTTTCAGATTTCCATTGGGTTTTCTTTCTTTTGGTTCATAAGTTATTTAGAAGTATATTGCTTTATTTCCAAATATATTTGGTGTTTTAGGTAACTTTTTAGTTATTTTTCATTTGATTATGACTATTAGGATGTTCTATATCTTCAAAAAAACTTTCTATTATGGGAAATGTCAAACATATACAAAATTAGAGATAATAGTATAATAAGCCCTCAGATATCCATAAACTTCAACAATTTTTAATTCCTGACCAACTTTATCTCTATTCTCTCATCACACCCTCCCATCTCAGATTATTTTGAAATGAATCTTAGATATATCATTTTTTCCTACAGATATTTCAGTTGTAGGAAATATATATATATTTTAAAATGTTTTTATTTTATTATTTTATTTTTTTTAAAAGATTTTATTTATTTATTTGACTGAGAGAGACACAGCGAGAGAGGGAACACAAGCAGGGGGAGAGGGAGAGGTAGAAGCAGGCTTCCTGCTGAGCAGGGAGCCCGATGCGGGGTTCGATCCCAGTACCCTGGGATCATGACCTGAGCTGAAGGCAGACGCTTAACGACTGAGCCACCCAGGCGCCCCTGATTTATCTTAAAACAGACACGCACGCATGAGACAGGCTCAGAACAATATACCTGCCCCTGCCTAGGTAGTAAGTTTTGAAATTCAACTTTTATCCCCTAAGTCCACAGGCTGTAAAAGGTCCTGCTTGTCTTCTTAGCTCTTTCTATTGGAATTGGATCAGTGTCCCCACAAGGAAAGTGATTGCAAATCCAGGCTCACCTCTCTAGATTTATTTCCTTTTTAAGTTATTAGACTGGTAAATCTTTACTAGTTGTCTGCTTTGTTCTTTGTTCTCTGCTACCTTTAGATAATGTTTTAAGATATTCTGTCCAGGGGCGCCTGGGTGGCTCAGTTGGTTAAGCATCTGACTCTTGGTTTCGGCTCAGGTCATAGTCTCAGGTCCTGGGATTGAGCCCCACATCGGGCTCCACACTCAGCATAGAGTCTGCTTGTCCCTCTCCCTCTGCTCCTCCCCCTGCTCACTTTCTCTCTCTCTCTCTCTCCCTCCCACTCTGTCCCTCTCTCTCCCACTCTCTCAAATAAATAAATAATAAAAAAATCTTAAAAAAAAATATGTTCTGTCCATCTTCTCTAGTTGTCTCCAGTAAGAGGTTGGTCTACATTATCTAATCTGCTATTATTGGGAATGAAAGTCCCCTTACTGCTTAAACTTTGAACATCTAACATGTGTTTATATAATATGAACACAATATTTGTTTTTATTTCAAAGGTTCTGAAGCAAAAGCACCTGGATGATTGCCTGCGACATGTATCTATAAGAAGATTTGAATCATTTAATCTGTTTTCAGTAACAGAAGCCAAAAAAAGGGTAAATGAAGAGGAAGTTGGTGCATGGGTCCGATATACAAGTGTCTTCTATCCTGAGTACAGTATTTCTTTAAGGTAAACCATCACTCCAGTGACAATTTTTTTTAAAAGTATTTTTCTCTTGTAGAAGAAAAGCAGTCTAATAAGAATCTTATTATTCATTCTATTGAGTTTGCAGGTAATCTTGATCAGAACTTGGGTTTTGCAGCATTGTGTTAGGAAATCCTGCTGCTTTAACTGAGTTTTGTTGTATTCTCCGAACTAAAGAAAAAAGATTCTCAGGAATGTAGCAGCATTTGAGGACAAAGTGGCTTGCAAATCAAAAGGTTCTTTTAACCATTCTCTCATAGCATTTGACAAAAAACCCATTTCTTTTTGAGGAGGCAAGGAAGGCTGAAAGTGAACACAGAATTTTCCAAACTACTCTTCAAGTAGTAGTTATCTGAAAAATCAAGCTTTGGTATTTTTCCCATTCATGTTTTGTCACTTTCAGAATAGAATCATAAGAATAGGAGGAGAAAATTCAGCTGAAAACACTGATATTGTGAGAAGCATACAGACTGTTCTGGCTTTAAAAATCATTTAAAAAGAGACAGGAGAGTTGCAAACTGAAGTAACAAGATACCATTTTTACTGAATTAATTTTTTCTCACAGTTATAGTCTAGCATGTTGCAATATTACTGTAGGTGTTTGATTTTATAAAATCTTCCTTTTTTGACAAGATTTCACAATTTGAAAGAGAGGGAGGAGCACATTTACAGTAACTGTAAGAAGTGCAAAAAACATTTTAAGTGGAATGTGACTGAATAAGGTTTAGGTGAGGCGAGGAATAATTTTAAGAAAAAAAAGTTTTCAAAAAGGATATCTATTTATAGTATATGTTTCGTGAACTATTTCAGTTTAAAATATCTAAGCTTTAAAAGACATCATAATAGCTTAAAGTTTGGGATCTGGATAAAAATTGACAAGGGTGAGCAGAGAAGAACAATTAGGATCTGGTTTCATAACTATTGAAAACTCCAAAAAGAAGATAAAAACCTAGCGATTTGTGAGCTTGCCTGTATATTCATTATGAGATTCTGATTCGAGTACCTCAACTGCCTCACATTCTGATGGAGATAGTTTAGTTCTTCCTTAGAAAAGGAGGAAAAATGCATTACATGCTTACTATGTGCCCCCTACAGAGCGAGGTGTCTTGATGTATGCTAATTCATGTAATCTTTACAGTAACTCTGTAAAGTAGAAATGAAGATGATTAAACAATTGGAAGATAGTATCTATAAGGAAATTAAAGAGAAGGAAGAACTGAGTGATCTAGTAGCAATCTTCAGGTGTAAAGTTCTAAAACACCCTCTACATCCACTGGTGACAAGATGCAGTAAGCGTAAAATGTGCCAAGAATAATTTCCTGACATCTTCGAGGTCCTGGTAAGGGTTAGCTCGAGAGAATGTGACATCTTCTGTTCTTTAGAGTTTTCAAACCAGGACGTGGTTCTTTGGCAGATGACCCTGATGTAGCAGGAACCCAGGCTCCAATGTAAACTGAGACGCCTTTCCAATGGCATGGTTCTTTGTGATATATCCATTTTTCAAAAAAATAAACGCAAGTCTGTTTGTATAAATATGGCATTGAATCCTCATTTATGGAGAGAAGACAGGTGACCAAGCTAAAACATTGGCCACAATGGCTACCAAGATTTATTCTCTCTCTCTTTTTTTTTTAAAGATTTCATTTATTTATTTGACAGAAAGAGAGAAAGAGAGAGAGCGAGCACGAGCAGGGGGAGCGGCAGGCAGAGGCAGAGGGAGAAGCAGGCTCCACGAGGAGCAGGGAGCCTGATGCGGGGCACAATCCCAGGACCCTGGGATCATGACCTGAACCGAAGGCAGTCGCTTAACCAACTGAGCCACCCAGGCGCCCCAAGATTTATTCTCTTTTTTCAAACTAGTTTGTTTTGCTCCACATTAGTAGTGCAAAAATAACAATAGCTTACATGTATTCTAGAGCTAAACACTATCTTAGAATAATTTTGAAAAGATCATAACCACATTAATAAATGCTGACCACTGAGTGACTACTATATGACAAGCACTGTTGTGAATGGTTTACATGTATTAGTTTATTTAACCCACACAACTGTTTATGAGGTAAATACTGTTATTATCCTCATTTCACAGATAAGCAAAGTGAAACCCAGAGAGGTTAAATCACTGATCAAGGTCACCCGGCCAATGATTGTACCTCTATTCAAACCCCAGTGGTCTGGTTCCACAGCCTGTACTTTTAAAAACTTTTATGTTGAAATAATTACAGAAGTTCAGGAAGTTGCAGAAATAGCACAAGGAGTTCACATACCCTTCACCTAGCTATCTCCATTGGTAACATTTTATATAATGACAGTCACTGTCTGCACTTTCAACTTCTGCACATGCTGTCTTTCCTGAGGCAATCATGTATCCACTTATTCATTTTAGAGATGAAGGTATTGAGGCCCAGATAAACTAATTTCCTCATTGATTATTCTGAGCATTCTATTTCTTACTCCATAATTCTGTTACTGTATAGGAAATCACTGAAATTACTGCAATTGCTTAGGTAGGGGAGGATATCTGCCAAGAATAGTTCATTCCATTCCATTGCCAATTTTGTTCACGTTGATTTCTTTTACCACTTCCTCTTGTTTTCTGTTATCTGCCCAACATGGATCTCCATTCTTGTTCATTTAATATCATATCTTTTCTCAACCCGCTTCCATGACATTTCTTTAGCTACCTTTATCTTCTTCAGTATTGTTTGAATTCTGAGCATTCTAGTTTAAAAAAATTCGTTGCAGTAGCTAAAGGTAGTGGTTTAGAAGGTAGTTTTGGAATGGAGTACCATTATTTTCATCTACATTTTTTAAAGTTTGTTAAATCAACACTATGGAATGATTGAAAAAAAAAGTGGTGAATAGTTTTAAATAAATTTAAATCAGCAAATATTTAATGGTACCTTCTATACAGGTTAACAAAAAGAAATGTAAGATATATTATCCTCAAGGGTTTTAAATATGTGAAAAGTTAAGTAATAAAAATGTTAAATAAGAAGGAAGGGTAGGCATCCATTCTCAGAACTCTCATAAGGCATGCATAACTAATTTCCAAAGGCGTGGAAGACTTCATACAAATTAGGAGTTTAGAGGTGAGAGTGATTTTCGGAAGGCCTTGAGGGGTTTAAACTGGATCTGGAAGTAGTTGGAACTTCTGAGGGAAAGGGAGAAGTCATTTCAGATGAGGGCAAAGGCACTAGAAAATATCCAGGGGAAGAAAGTGCAAGGCAGAATTATCAGTGGCTCTTAAGAACCATCACAGTCTCTAGGGGAACCATGGTCAATACATGTTATATGATGGCTCTGCTTCTGGATTCTCATAAAGGGCTGAGCATTTGAGAGGTTTTGATCCTCAGAGAGTATAAATATAAACCCCATTTTCACTTTCTTAGTTCTTATCATTTGACGTCACCTGCTCCAATTCAACAGGGGTGATGCATGTAGTGATTAATAATTGTTATCAATATTTGTTGTATCCTTAAAATTTCCCTGTGTATTAATTTGTCTCTTTAAAGTTTTATTAGGCTTGAAATGAGTATCCTAAGAGGATAAATAACTAGATATTTGTGAATTCAAAGTACATAGTTGTATTTTGTTTGTATTATTGAAAGGTACATAAGCAGTGGCCTAAATTAAAACTTATTTTTTGTTAGCCTTGTATGATGATATTTAAAATGAAGGAATAGCAGGGAGAAGTAGGCAAGTGGGAATAGAGAAATAAAATGAAGGAACAGAGAATTTCCCTTAGTGGCTTTTTATCAGAGGCAAAAGTTTGGACAAGGTAAAAGTTAGTTAGACAAAATCCCCAAGATGTGTTGTCTTTTCTGTGTATCTGAGGATAGTTGACTCTTTGTTCCTAAGTGAAGTACTGAAAGTTAGGAAATTAAAATCCAGGGTATGACTGCTACTTTATTCCTTGGCAAAGTCTTTCTGTCTTTCTGGTACTTTATTTTTATTTCTTAGAACCTTATAGGAAGAGGTTCTTAGATAGATGTTGGTATAGAGAACATCCAGTAGATTTTTTTTTTAAAAGATTTTATTTATTTATTTGACAGAGAGAGACACAGAGAGAGAGGGAACAAAAGCAGGGTGAGTGGGAGAGGGAGAAGCAGGCTTTCCGCTGAGCAGGGAGCCCAATGCAGGGCTCCATCCCAGGACCCTGGGATCATGACCTGAGCTGAAGGCAGACACTTAATGACTGAGCCACCCAGGCGCCTCCATCCAGGAGATGTTTAAAGCTACCCCCCATCCTGCTGTTGTATAATCTGCAATTTGTTATAATATTTTGTTATAAACAGTGTTTATTGCATCAGTGCTAGAAATTGTTTCCCACTCCAGATTTCAACTCAATTTCAGTGCAGTAAGACTTTACATATTCTGGAAGCTTTAAATACTTGCATTATATTTGGAACCATAGAAGTTCCCTAGTTATTCACTGATAAATGTGTGTATGTCACAGGTGTAGAAAAAGCTGAGAGGGCTGAATTCTCCTCCTTTTCTTTCAATAAGACTACTGTTGCCATGGTAATTGCTGGATTAGAAGCCTAGAGCTTTTAAGTTTTGGCTTGTCCTGGGAGCTTATAATGGGCAAGACATCAGGAATGACTTTGTCTTTGACTGTGGTGCATCTTTCTAGTACAACAGATGCACTGCAGTCAGGTCACATATTGCTTCTCTAGGGAAAGGAAAACATAAAATCTTCATCCCACTGAATTTAGTATGTACTCTGAGTGCTCATGAAATAACTGGTGATGGGAATGGTATGCTTATGAAATTAGATGTATGGAAGATTATCATTACATATGTGGTATATCATAGGTGCCCATTTAAAGTTTGACAAGGCTGGCATCTGAGACAAATATGAATACTGAATTTATATTTAAAAAGTATAGTTTTAGGGGTGTCTGGGTGGCTCAGTCGGTTAAGCGTCTGACTCTTGATCTCAGATCAGGGTCTTGATCTCAGGTAAATCTCATGACTCAAGCTCCGCATGGAGCCTACTTTAAAAACAAAGTATAGTTTTAATGTTAGTAGTGATATTAACAGCAGAGGTGAGTATTAAAACAGCTTTTGTTCTCTTGCATTTTATTTTATATTTTAGAAGGAACTTTGTAGAACCTTTCAAATATGATCCAGTGTATGCAGAAAATTAAAAGACTAATCCATTGAATCATGTTTTCGTAGAACTTAAATCATAGATATGGGCTAATATAACTTAGTTTTTTAGCTTGTTTTAAACTCCAATCACGATTGGTTATGTAGTTTGCTTGCGTATATATGTATGCATGTAACTGTCTTACTCTATCCTATTAGCTTCAGATGTACATCGTAATGATTCAGCATTTTTATACATTATGAAATGATCCCCATGATAAGTCTAGGTACCGTCTGTCACCATCCAAAGTTATTATATTATTAACTATATTCCCTGTGCAGTACATTACATCCCCATGAATTATTTATGTTTTATAACTAAAAGTTTTTTTTTGTTTTGTTTTGTTTTTAAAGATTTTATTTATTTATTTGACAGAGAGACACAGCGAGAGAGGGAACACAAGCAGGGGGAGTGGGAGAGGGAGAAGCAGGCTTCCCGCGGAGCAGAGAGCCCGATGCGTGGCTCGATCCCAGGACCCTGAGATCATGACCTGAACCTAAATCAAGAGTCAGATGCTCAACTGACTGAGCCACCCAGGCGCCCCAGTTTATTTTTTTCTTAAAGGTTTTATTTATTTATTTATTTTTGAGAGAGAGTAGAGTGTGCGAGTGGGGGGGGGCAGAGGGAGAGGGAGAGAATCTGAAGCCGACTCCATGCTGAGCTCAAAGCCTGATGCAGGGCGCGATCTTACGACCCTGAGATCATGACCTGAACCTAAATCAAGAGTCAGATGCTCAACTGACTGAGCCACCCAGGTGCCCCAATAACGAGAAGTGTTGTACCTCTTAGGCCCTTCACCTGGTTCACCCTCCTCCCCACCATAAACAACAGTTTGTTCCTGCATCTATGAGTCTGTTTTTGTTTATTCAGTTTTGATTTGCAGTCCCCTGATGACTAATGATGTCCATCCTTTCATGTGCTTTCACTTGTATGTGAAATCATATGGTTGTCTTTCTCTGTCTGATTTACTTCACTCTTTAGCCATTTATTTTTGAAAGACCTCCAAAGCATGTTGCATCTAGAATCAAGTTTTTCAAACCTTTTCCTTCTGAAAACCTCTCTTCTTTCTTCTTCTTCTAAAGCCTTTTAGGGCCCATTTTACTCTCTGGCTTTTCCTTTCTTTTTTGGGGGGGGGACCAGTTTTCTTTTTTTTTTAAAGATTTTATTTATTTGAGAGAGAGAGAATGAGAGATAGAGAGCACGAGAGGGAAGAGGGTCAGAGGGAGAAGCAGACTCCCTGCTGAGCAGGGAACCCGATGCGGGACTCGATCCCGGGACTCCAGGATCATGACCTGAGCTGGAGGCAGTCGCTTAACCGACTGAGCCACCCAGGCGCCCACCAGTTTTCTTTTTAATCAAGATAAAATTCATATAACATTAAATTCACCATTCTAATTAACCGTTTTAAACTGAAATTCGATGGTTTTCCGTATATATTCATAATGTTGTGCAGTCATCACCATTAATTCTAGAGATTTTTTTTCACCCCATAAAGAAATCCCATGCCCATTTGTAGTGATTCTCCATCTTCCTCCTGCCCCCCAAACCCTGGCAACTACTAATGTACTTTCTGTCTATATGGATTTGCCTATTTTGGACATTCCATATAAATACAATCATACAATATGTGGACTTTTATGTCTGGCTTCTTTCACTTAGAGTAATGTTTTTGATTCATCTGGGTTATAGCATGTATCATTATTTCATTACTTTTTTATGGCTGAATAATATTGTGTCATATGGATAATACCACATTTTGTTTATCCATTTATCAGTTGATGGACATTTGAGTTGTTTCCACTTCTTGGCTATTACGAATAATGCTACTATGAACATTCATATGTAAGTTTTTGTGTGACTGTGTAAGTTTTTAATTCTCTTAGGTATGTACCTAAGTGTGAAATTGTTGGGTTGTGTGGTAAATCTTTGTTTAACATTTTAAAGAATGGCCAAATTGTTTTCCACAATGGTTGCACTCTATTTTGCATTCCTACTGGGAGTATTTCAGGGTTCCAGTTTTTCTCCATGTTTGCCAGCACTTGTTATTTTTCCTTTATTATTATTTTTTATTTTAGCCATCCTCATGGGTATGAAGTGATATCTCACTGTGGTTTTGATTTGCAGTTCCCTGATGATTAATGATGTCCATTTTTTGCCCATTTTAATTGGGTCATCTTTTTGTTGTTGAATCATGAAAGCTCTTTATATATTCTGGATACTAGACCTAGTGATTTGCATGTATTTTCTCCTATTCTGTGGGTTGTCTTTTCACTTCAATGATAGTGTCCTTTGATGGACAAAAGTTTTTAATTTTCATGACATTCAGCTTATCTAGTTTTTCTTTTTCTTTCTTTTCTTTTTTTTTGTGCTTTTGGTATCATATTTAGCCCTGGCTTATTTTTAACCTCTAGTTCCAAACTCTTGCTATCTTTAGACTTCAGACTTTTCCTCTAGTAGCTTTTTTCCCCCCTCTTCACATAATTATCTGCCCCAGTGACTTGCTCCTTAGTCCTCCTTACTCCATAGGCCATTCTTGGGAAAAGCTCAAAAGTCCTCAGTTCTAGGATAGCTTAAAGTGCTTGTGAAAAATAAGTTACAACAACTTTTGTTGTTAGTGAGAGTGGGGGGTGGGGGGACGAGCATAGGGAGAGGGAGAGGATCTTTTTTTTTTTTAATTAGCATATATAGTGTATTATTAGTTCCAGAGGTAGAGGTCAATGACTCATCATTTGCATATAACACCCAGTGCTCATTACATCACGTGCCCTCCTTAATACCCATCACCCAATTACCCCATCCCCCTACCCACCTCCCCTCCAGCAGCCCTCAGTTTGTTTCCTAGTTAAGAGTCTCTTATGGTTTTTCTCCCTCTCTGATTTCATCTTATTTTATTTTTCCCTCCCTTCCCATATGATCCTCTGTTTTGTTTCTTAAATTCCACATATGAGTGAAATCATATGATAATTGTCTTTCTCTCATTGACTTACTTCACTTAGCATAATTGAGGGGGAGAATCTTAAGCAGGCTCCACACTCAGCACAGAGCCCGACTTGGGGCTCAATTTCACGACCCTGAGATCATGACCTGAGCTGGAATCAAGAGTAGGACGCTTTACTGACTGAGATCCAGGCGCCCCAACAGATTTTTTTTTTTTTTTAATCACCACTGGAAAAGTATCTCAAACCCTATGACCTACTAACATTTGGGCCCATTTGTATATGAAGAATAGCATCTTTTGTAAGTATTAATAAAATATCAGTAATCAAATTAGGTATTTCAGGGGCAGGCTGTCAAGTGAATAGAGATTAGAATTAAAGGGAGTGGAATTAAAGTTAGTGGGGAAAAGGTAAAAAACGATTTGCACTCCCTGACATTTAGAACCTTCTAATTGTGGATTGTGCAGACCTGAAGGTTGGTTAGTTCTTTTTGACTGAAGTTCTGAATTTGTTGGGCTGGTATAGAGGAAATCTATTTATTGTTGGGCGTGGTTCTGGAGGTTGATGACTTATTTTTCTTTTGAGATTCTCAAAAGTAAGGTTTTGTTTTGTTGTCTTTAATAATCTACCTCACCTTTATATAGCTAAAACAACAATAAAAATTATTTACTAGTACTTTAAAATGTACATTAATCATCAAGAATATCATTACATTAAATATTCTGAGAAATGTGTTCTGTTATTTCTTTTCCTTCTCCCTCTAGTGGGCAGAAAATATTTTGAAAATATAACAGGGAACGGTTTATTTGTATTGGGTGGGTATATCACAATACACAGTCTCAGGTTTTAAAAAATTTAATAAATCTTAATATTTCAGAATCATTAAAGAAAATGCTTTATTTCTTTCTAGGCGTAATAATGGATCTTTGAATGTTGAAGATGTTCTTACCAGCTTTGACAATACAGGCAATGTTTGTAAGTTATATGTTCCCTTTGTGGAACTATTTTTAGTGTTTTAAAAAGTGAATTTATAATTAGTGTTTTTCTCACTGATTTTTATTATAGTGATGTGTGTGCATATGTTGTGTGCAATATAAACTCTTACTGTTTTTAGCTGTGAGATAAGCTTCATATAAGATGGACCTACAAAGTGGGATAAGGCTATTTTTACACTTTGCAGTTGTGTGTGTGAGTGTGTGTGGGTGCATGTGTGTGTGTGTGTGTGTGACAGAATGTAGGTCAGAAGGAACACTGGACTCTCCAGTACTATCCCTTTTGTTTTTTGTTTCCATTTTGACCTTCTCAGTTAATCCAGCAGATCGGCTGTCTCTTTTTTCTTTGCTGTGTTTTAGGTACTTTCTTTTCCACTTTCTGCTTCTTCTCTTTTTTCACTTTGGAATAAAACCAGAACGTGTGTTTTCCTTGCTGTTAATACAATGCCGGAAGGTTTTTGTTTTATGCAGCATTATACTATAGAACACATTGTCTTTTCATCTAAGCTTCTGATTGTCGTGATAGATTTCTCCATTGAGAGAATCATTTAAATAATTATCATGCCACATGATGAAAGAAATCAGCCAAGAATATCTTTATATCACTGTGTTAAGCAATATACGATGATCAGAGCTGTGTATTTCTTCATGTGTGTTACTTAAGATATTTTTCTTAACATAGTGAATTATCAGTTTAATATGGCCTTTTTATTTTTATTTTTTTTAATATGACCTTTTTAAATGTAAAAATTGTACTCAAATACTTTTTTTCTCAAAGGAAATTTCATAACTGTATTCTCTGAACTAAAATAACATACTTTGCTAACAGCACTACTTTATCAGATGCCCTCTCATTTTAGATCTGCATAGAATAATGTTCAGCGATACTCAGGCAGTAATTTTGTTTTTATGTCCATATATGGCAAGCTTTTGATAATATATAAAAATAATTATATATTTTGTCACTAAGGAATCTATAAATATCCCCAAATTACCCAAAAATATTTAAATAATATGGGTTTCTTTTTCATAGATAGTTACAAGTGTACCTTTTAGTTTCTACATGTTGGCACTTGCTGAATTCTTTCCCACTTAGTTAGGCATATCTCATTTTATTGGGGATTAGGGCTAGTAGTGGTTGAGGAGACATTCTCCTTTAGCTCTGGGCTAAGGTGAAATAACATTAAGTCAGGCTTATGCATGTATAGTTTAGGAACATGATACCAGAATGTTAAATGTGGAATTTTTGATTCAGTGATGTAAAAATCAAACATTGTTTCCAGTGGCTCAGTATGAAATAGGGCCACTAGCTGGCAGCATTATGTAAAAATAAAAATACATTCCTAAAGGTCTATGCTATTATTTTATACATGAATAACTATCTTGTCCTTCTCTGACATTTTTCTCATCAACTTGTTCCTCACTACCTTCATCCACCCCCAGTTGTTGCATTGACAAATGGAGAAATTGCATGCAAAAGATATTTTTTCACTGATGTTGTATTGTTCGGTGGGAAGGTTTGAGTCTTTGGAATGAGACTCATCTACATTTGAATCTTGGCTCTGAAATTCATCTTGAGCAATTTATATTATGTCAGTTTATATCAATTTATATTATTTCTTAGAACTGGATAGAATATATAGAAAGTGTATAGCATATACTACATTCCTCATAGTTGACACTCAGTAAATGGAAGCTATTTATTAATTATTACTGGTAATGAGTGCCTCTAAAATGTCTTCCATCTTTTTCTAATAATGAAGATAATATTATTAAGTTTGTTCTCATGTTTTAAAATAAGCTATTTTGATTGAACTTTTTCCTGATACAAAACAGGAAAAAATAGGGCGCCTGGGTGGCTCAGTCGTTCAGCGGCTGCCTTCGGCTCAGGTCATGATCCCAGGGTCCTGGGATCGAGTCCCACATCGGGCTCCCTGCTCCGCGGGAAGCCTGCTTCTCCCTCTCCAATAAATAAATAAAATCTTAAAAAAAAAAAAAAAAAAAAAACAGGAAAAAATAGATAAGATTACCAAAATAGTAATTTATTCAAATGTCTTGTCACAAATGTTGCATTAAGAACCTGAATATATTGCCAAATGATAGAAGTGGTGACAAAAAAAGACTTAATTAAAACATGTTGTTTGGTGTAACTTTTATATTATCCTCTTATTTTAAAAGAAAAAAATCTATACTTATATTTTACTTAATGATAAATTGGTAAAATCCTGTTACAATAGCGCAGATATTGATTATAACTTTTATATAATCTTTGCCAAGGCTTAAAGTGATCAGTGATAGAAAAAGTGATTTATTGCTTTACGCCTCAAATGTTTGATTTTATACTAATAGTGGTATTAGGTTGAGTTTGTGAGTAGAAACCCCAGCAGAGGGCGCTACAATCATAATTCTGTTTTACAGTCCAATATAATCGGAATAAATAATTTGAAAACGGTAAGTTTTCATCATGTAAACATATGAAGATGTGTGCTTAAAAATTTCCATTTGATTTATTTCTCATATATTTAATATATTCAGCAATTCATCAATACAAAAAATAGATTTTCCTGAGTTATTTTTGAGTTAATTTTTTTGTCTTTTGTTTTAAATATAAGTTTAATTTTTATACTTATGGCTTTAAATAAAGGGATACTTTTGGTCTTGTTAATCTTGATAGCAAGAGTTGTGTATAAGAATACCTATTCCAGGGGCGCCTGGGTGGTTCAGTCTGTTAAGCGTCTGCCCTTCGGTTCACGTCATGATCTCAGGGTCCTGGGATCGAGCCCTGTGTTGGGCTCTCTGATCAGTGGGGAGTGTGCTTCTCCCTCTGCCCCTCCCCCTGCTTGTGCTCTCTCTCTCTCTGTCAAACAGATAAATAAAATCTTTTTTTTTAAAGATTTTATTTATTTATTTGAGAGAGAGAATGAGAGAGAGAGAGAACATGAGAGGGGGGAGGGTCAGAGGGAGAAGCAGACTCCCCGCCGAGCAGGGGGCCCGATGTGGGACTCGATCCTGGGACTCCAGGATCATGACCTGAGCCAAAGGCCGTCGCTTAACCAACTGAGCCACCCAGGCGCCCTAGATAAATAAAATCTTTTTAAAAAAAAGAATATCGGAGCGCCTGGGTGGCTCAGATGGTTAAGCATCTACCTTCGGCTCAGGTCATGATCTCAGGGTCCTGGGATCGAGCCCCGCATCGGGCTCCCTGATTGGCGGGGAGCCTGCTTCTCCCTCTCCCTCTACTGTCTCCCCTGCTTGTGCTCTCTCGCTCTCTCTGTCAAATAAATAAATAAAATCTTTAAAAAAAAAATATCTATTCTAAATCACCACCGTGGTAGTACACTGATGGTACACTGAAAGATATTTAAATGAGGAAAAATTTCTAATACTATGAGAGAACCAATAGATGGAATTATTCATTTGTTTCAAGAATAGTTTCCAGGTTAATAAAACTTCCTGATACTAGAAAAAAAATAACGAAAATATTGTATAGTTATAAAAACCTGATATGTGTATATGTACAAAATACATATGTGTGTGTGTGTATATATATACATATATATACACAAAATATATTCATGGTTTAATAGAACCATTAATCTCAATTTTAAGTTAATTGTTAAAACCAAATAATGATTTTATTCATTGTAAATTTTCAAAGATGAAAGGTTCAGTTTTACTTCCTGAATTTGTTCTCTAACCAAAAAGATACAAAAAAATCTTTAATTTTGGATAATAAATGAAACTTCTAGATAGTTTCTTATTTCCTGATATATTAGAAAATATTTTTTATATTTACCTTTATTATTTAGAAGCGTTTTGTCTTTTTAAATATATGACCTGTAAAGTATTTTATATTTTTGAGCTATCCTTTCAGAGTTTGAATTTCTTCTAATGTTGTAAGAAGAAATTAAAAATGAATCTCAGACAATCATTTCGGCATAATGATTTACTGCTCTATAGAATATATTTGCTATTGTGGGAAACACATTATTTTGAAAGCCAGGCTCCCTTTTTGCTTACCTCTATTTAGGAATAGGTATGCATATTTCATTCTTTAGGTTCTACTACTTCAGAACCTGCTTCCTTTTCAAATATCAAAGCTGTTCTCTGGAGAGGTTATGTCTGCTGTTGATTCATCATGCCTGGAAAGAGATGCCATCTTGCTACCTAGGGAGAAGTATAGGATGGCATCCTTCACCTCAGATGAAGTGCTGGCTGCTTCTGTGTTTCACGTAACAGGTCACTTGAATACTCTGGGTAACAGGGGAGTACTCTGCAAGCACCAGAGTAGATTGCTTACTTCTGCTTTCCCAGTGAGCACAGTCTCCTTTCCAGCAAGTCCCTAACCTCTAATCAAAGAAGCCCCACTATGCTGTGTCTCTTCCAAACCCACTTTCTCTTTCTCCAAAGTCATCTCTTTCCTCTACTGAAATGAATTTTTTAAAAATGTGATTCTCTCCAAGGCTTCGTTGATTCAAGTTTGGTTGTTATAGTATATAATATAACTATTTGGTATTTGTAAAATCTCATTAGTGTTGGGGTTATAATAGCTTCATTTGGACTTTTTTTTTAGTATATCATCTTTCATTTGACAGCTTGAGCAGATGAGGTAATACTTCTTATACAATTTATTGTGCACAGTATATGCAATATAATATGTATAAGCCTTTAAAGGATAGGAAGTCACTAATAATATATCACTGCAGTAACCTAGTGTGTGAATCAGGATCCCTGGTGAACACTGCAGCTTAAATTTGGGGAATGTATTGGTAAGACCCCTTCTGCCATTCTTTGAAAAACATTTTTTTCTTCTGGCTGGGCTAAATGACATGGGGTTGGTATCTCAGTCTCCTGGAGAAATCTGTGGACCCTCTGCCTTGTATACTCTCACATGTGACAATGGTAATTCTTTACCCCCCCAATGAATCCCAGGGCTGACCTGGACTTTTAAAAAAGCACACAGGTACAGTCTCCTACTTCTAG